AATATACACAGACCGCCACCCTTTGTCTTACCGGAGTCAGCCGTTCTATCCTGCTGATGTAGCGTATAGCCCGCTAGCTGTATGTTGTCCATGTCGTTGTTCAGCCACAACTCTGTGAAACATAAGATATTACAGTTTTGAATGTCCCGTTGGTAGGATAAGCGTAATCGTAGGTCATCTAATTTATTTTCCAATGATTGAACATTGGCTAATAGGATGGAAGAGGCAGTTTACTCGCTCGCCGTCGGATCCTTACGAGGCACCCCGACCTACGTCCACGATATCTCCGTCTTTTTCTCCTGCGAATGACTGGGATTTGGGCCTGTAGGATATCCTTCGCGTCCGACTCATTTAAGAAAAATCTTTGTCCAATACGAGGTGAGTAATCACTGTCCTGATATCCAGAAGCTCTTTTTGGTTAGCTCTTTAGGCCCCGTGTAGCTCAGTTGGTAGAGCATGGTGCTTGCAATGCCAGGGTTGTGGGTTCGTGTCCCACGGGGGGGCAGTATAATTTTCTTTTTAACAAAATGTATGCACTCTCTAACTGTAAGTCGCTCTGGATAAGAACGTCTGCTAAATGACTAAAATGTAAATAAGAGACGATGGCAGAAACATTATGTACAGAATAAATTACAAATAACGCGAAAAACACACATAATAGTACAATTGGTTAGAGGGCTGTAAAACACCAGCCATCTTCTACGGCGCCATCACTTTTTATCCTGGGGTGTATCTAAAGACCTGAGTTAAGGTATACATACTGGACTGTATTTAAAGACCTGAGTTAAGGTAGTCCCCTGCAGCTCAGTTGGTAGATCATGGCGCTTGCAACGCCAGGGTTGTGGGTTCGTTTCCCACGGGGGGCCAGTATGAAAATGTATGCACTCACTAACTGTAAGTCGCTCTGGATAAGAGCATCTGCTAAATGACAAAAAAAAAAAAAAAAAGTATACATACTGGACTGTATCTAAAGCTGGCACCTCTACTTCTGAGATAGAATTAGAACTCTCTTGCCTGCAACGTCCAAGAGATGCAGGTTGAATGTTTGTTTAATTCCAGTCCAAGTGGTTCTGACTGGACATCATGGATTTAACGTTTGAGGACATTCTAAGTGTTGTTTAGACAGACCCTTCGCTGCAGGATGACTTAATATTCATTTAGTCTCCTGTGATCTTTCAATAAACAAAGTAAGTGATTGGAGAACGGTAAAATAAACTGGTACATTAAACATCTCATACCACACCAGTGAGACACACTGTTGGGCTGTAGGGCGAGTATGGACGCAGTTATATTTTCTGGGGCTGGATCAAAATGACCCCCAAGGGCCGTAGAAGCAATACCTTAACATTAGGCAACAAGTGTCATGGTTATCTGAACAGTTGCGAGACTGGTTTCGAGGTCAGAAAACAAATATGTAATTTTGGCATTTAGATGAACTATCTCTGTAAGGGGGTAGAGACGATTTCCACATGTCATTAATCATCTCAGTCATTAACCCACTTGAAAACCAGGAGGGACTTTCACTCAATGGAAACGTCCTTTTATAGAAAACCATGTGAAAAGATTAAGGACAACTGGGTCACATCCCATTGAACCCATTGCACAAAAAAATGACAACGGAAAAATACTCCATCTTCTTCTTCTTCCTTCGTCAGTTCAGTAAAGACCCAGTCTGAGGTTTCTGCTTTCTATCAGAGCTAGGGTTGCAAAATTCCAGGAACTTTCAATAAATTCCCTGGTTTTCCAGAAATCAGGAGGGAATAAGCAGGACATCCGGAATCCTCCAACCAGGATTTCTGGAAAATCAGGAAATTTATTGAAAGTTCCCGGAATTTTGCAACCCTAATTCAGAGCGACGCTGTAAAAGCTACAGGCTGCAATGAAATACGTGTGGAGGTTCTCCTCCAGGCAGCTGTGAGCACCGTGCGGACGGAGCGTGTGAATAAAAACACCGACAATGATGACAGTAATGTAAGTAAATACACTTCCCCTGGATCACTCACACACATTAGAGCTGCGTCCCAAAAGGCACCCAAACCCTATATACCGAAGTACTTTGACACCCTACTCCCTATATAGTGCACTACGTTTGACCATTACCCATAGGGAATAGGGTGCCATTTGGGACAAAGCCCTCCAGCTGAACCAATGGGAACCACATGATATACAGGACAGGAAAGATGGATGGGACAGGAGGATGAAAGTCTGAGGAGTTTCAGGATGTTATCAGGACCTTTCTAACAGCTTGTCTAAAGGGTGTCTGTTTCATTTGTCAGGGATTAAGTAAGGGGGATGTTGGGGTTGTAGGCTACAGTTGACAGATATTCAAGGTTGAACACACAGCCATCATCTCTGAATAGCACTGAGTTACAGAACAAGGTTAAACACACAGCCAACATCTCTGAATAGCACTGAGTTACAGAACAAGGTTAAACACACAGCCAACATCTCTGAATAGCACTGAGTTACAGAACAAGGTTAAACACACAGCCATCATCTCTGAATAACACTGAGTTACAGAACAAGGTTAAACACACAGCCATCATCTTTGAATAGCACTGAGTTACAGAACAAGGTTGAACACACAGCCATCATCTCTGAATAGCACTGAGTTACAGAACAAGGTTAAACACACAGCCAACATCTCTGAATAGCACTGAGTTACAGAACAAGGTTAAACACACAGCCATCATCTTTGAATAGCACTACGTTACAGAACAAGGTTAAACACAGCCATCATCTCTGAATAGCACTGAGTTAGAGAACAAGGTTAAACACACCGCCATCATCTCTGAATAGCACTGAGTTACAGAACAAGGTTAAACACACAGCCATCATCTCTGAATAGCACTGAGTTACAGAACAAGGTCTTAATATAGGCCTACTGTATACCATGTTAATTCGGCGGCACACCCACACACACACACACACACACACACACACAGGTACTGTAGACGTGCATGTACGCACACTCTTTCTTTCTTTCTTTCTTTCGCTCTCTCCATCTTTACACCCTTCTTCTTGAGAGAAAAGACACACAAACTGACTCCAAACTTCAGGCCATGGCAATCAGGGATTACAATCTCCTGTCTCGCTCCACTTCCCTAAACAACTGATAACGACGGTGCCAAATATGATTTAGCAGCCAGTCGCTGAGGCTTGGAGTCAGACAGCTGCAGGGTAATCACTAATGTGAATAATTAGAGACGTTGTCTGCGTCCCAGAAATGGCACCCTATTCCCTGGTCAAAAGTGCACTATATAGGGAGCCAGCCATTGTTGTCACTCCTTCCCACGACCCCTACATTTAGCAGACGCTCTTATCCAGAGTTAAGTGCCTTGCTCAAGGGCACATCGGCAGATTTGTCACCTAGTCGGCTCGGGGAGTCGAACCAGCAACCTTTCAGCTACTGGCCCAATGCTCTTAACCGCTAGGCTATCCGCCTGTCTCCTCTCCTCTGCATTCACAGGTGCATGTCTCTAGGGCCCTCAGTCACTAAATGAATAAACATAGTTACATGGTGGCCACTGGGAAACGAGCCAAGTGCAGTCACTGCAAGGTATCCTTCTCAATTCATTTGGAAAGGAGATAAACAGTTTTAGGTCTTCACGTTTAAGACGGAATGCAGATTCACTTTTTGTGAGAGCAAATACACTGTACTCTTTTAAAGGCAGCTTGACAATTATTCAAATCATACACATTATACTGTACGTGTAACTGCATGCAACTTTATGCAGTCTGCAATAGAACAAATCGGCACTCCTGTTCTAATCTAAACCACTATCAGCTGCAGAACATCTTGCAGACTCTGGATCTGAGCAGCGTCACATTGTAGGTCGGGGACAGGAAGTAGAATTACCTGTAGCCATTTCAGGAGTCTTCCTGCTACAGAAGCCATTCATCATACATTCTCTCTGATTGGATGATTCTTGCCCAGAAACGATAGAGGAGAGATTAAAATACATCAACACATGCTGTGGAATATAATTATACTTGATAAATGTTGCCACATTAAGAAGTAATAGACTAGCACACCAAGATGGAAGCTTTTTTGTGTGCAAGTTTTGTTATTTCATATGAGCTTCCTAGTAGCTGCCAAGAGGTGGCCCTCTTTCCAGTGTTTTGACTGTGGCGCAAAGACCATGAGTCTCAGTGGCAGATAAAGCAGAGGGAACTGAGAAATACATGATTACATGGTGGTAACAACAAGAAGTCAAATAGGACATAATTCAAATAAATAGAGAAATATATTTACTTGTCGATGTAGTTCTGTCGGCAACATAATAATGGCAAAATTTACATTTAACGGAATAAAAGTCAAGAATCAACAGCTGCCGTTTTCGTATCTATACATATCCCTCTATACGTACCCCAGTAAAACAAGATGACAAAATATTGAGGCTTGAGTGCAAATTTTCGGAGAAACTGGCACTTTTGTCAGACGTGTTTCAATAAGGCATATTCTAATATTCACTAACTATATTGATTATTTCCATGAGAAGTTTGTTATCTTTAAAGAGTCAATCAGCAGTTGAAACAATAACAAAGCGCCTCCCCACCCCTGGTTCGGTATAAAGCTGAGGGATGGGGCTGGAGAAATGTAATCACTTTTAAATTCATGGGCAGAGCTATGGATGCAAGGATTGACCATCCATGATATAAAAATTATAGTTTTAACCATGTTTTGAGGCTATATAGTGTTTGTTTACATTTTCTTTGTTTACAAACATTGGTAAAACAATCTTATATTTTAGGTTCTGATGGGGTACGACTGGTGAACTAAGCTCCTAAGGCATTTATATAAGTTATATTCTTTAAGAATCAATGGGTACATATCATTAATTTATACATCCAAAAAGTAATGTAGCTACTGCTGATTGCCCCTTTCAGGTGCTTTCATAAAGTACCATACAGTACAGTACATTTCTATCTCTATTTGTCTTTCCTATAAAAGGCTGGTCTGTAGAGGCTGGTACTCTATATCTCCCTGAGGGGGTCATTCAGGTCCACCCCCCTGCTGACCCGTCTCGGTAGTGAAGTACATAGTAGTCGTGGACGTACATGAGCACGGCGATTGGCTGGCCAATGATGAGAGAGATCCATACGGCTGCGTTGCCATAGTTACCTCGGAGAAAACGGGCCACAAACCAGGCCAGCGGAAGCTGTAAAGCCAAAGACTCCATTCATTGAGTAAACAAACACAACATTCATTTTAATGAGTCAAAAACATCTTCAGACAATAAGCTTCTGGATGATCATTTCTCCATTCCAACATCTCACCTGAGACATCATGCCCATAAAAGCCCATGGTCTCAACATCTTCAGTGGAACACTGACCAGGTACTGTGAAGACAACATCAGCAACATTAGGTTTTAGTTTTCAAGAACAGTTTTCCCACACAACCATCTCCTTCATCCACAGCGAACAGGAAAATAATGTCTCTACTCCAGACAGCTAACCTATGGAATGACACCCAGTTTGTACAGGACATAAAGAGAACTGAGGTAACAGACAGATAGCGAACCTGTGGAATGACTGCTGGATGACTATCAAGCCTCACCTCATTGCTCTGAGTGATGGGGAGCTGACAGAACCCTGCTGTATGACCCTCTGATCTACAGATCCCAGTCTCCTGAGATCCCTCATGGCATTACTCAGGGGAGTGCGTGTGTGTGTGTGTGTGTGTGTGTGTGTGTGTGTGTGTGTGTGTCATTACTCAGAGGAGATGGGGGGACTAGTGTCCCACAGGGCCCTGTGGCACTCCGCTCCTCTCTGCTCCGCTCGCTGTCCTCTGAAGGTTACCGTTTAAAACAGCAGCAGCAGCCCCGTCTGTCTGTCTGTCTGTCTGTCCGGGGCGGGGAGAGGGAGGGAGCCGTATCTCTGTGAACCTGCTGACTGAACAGGCTCCTCACCGTACAGTCCTCTTATCTTCTCCTCCAGAAGCACAGTAGCCTGATATGGGCTTGTGTTACACTCCTCTCCTCCTCCTCCTCCTCCTCCTCCACTCATCCCAGCTACACTACCGTCCCTCCAACACTGACCTTCGTCAATGATGAAGAGTGCTGGATATGAGCCAAGCGCACCCGTGTGTGTGTGTGTGTGTGTGTGTGTGTGTGTGTGTCTGGACAATGGGGAAATATCCCCAGAAAGGGCCCTATTTTAAATGTATAGACACTGTGCAGTATTGCCACTGTACTGTCAAGCAATAACTATATCTGTGGCCTTTAAAGTATCAACTGACTAGCAATCTCAGCACTTATGAAACTGTATTCCGATAAAATGCAGGATTTCTTCACAAATGGTATAAATACTGTATATCGTCGGTGTCTGATGAAAAAATTGTAACTCAATTTTTCCAATTTAAATGGTTTTACATTTATTGAAAGTGGTAACTAACCTCAATGTACTCTGAACAGTTCATGACTTTAGGACCAAGAAAATGTATTCAAAATAGCTTCTAAGTGTCATAATTCTATGTTAGTTCATGGGAAAACATGGTTATTTTTATAATTTCTTGAAAAGTTTCTGTTTTGGCGATTAGATGTTTTCGTCAGACAGTGATGATATGAGCTGTAGTAGGAGCAGAGTATCCTCATTAAACACCAGCCTGATAAAGCTAACATTCTGTTTCACTTCAAAAGGGATACTAAACATGTGCGCAGCGGTCAGTCTGGTTTCACCCGGCTAAGAGCAGAGCACCTTACCTCATGAAAGAAGGCTGAAGCCAAGAACACTGCTGATTGGCCGAGCCACTTACTGACTCCACACTTCAGCAGGGGCTTGTAGAAGTGGCTTTGGGAGAGAGAGGGAGCGAGACAGGAGGTCGCACATCATCAAACACCTCACGTCAGCTTCAAACCATGTCACAAATACCTAATACATCCCCAATACATTTCTGCTCAGTATTAACCTCCATTACACTGATTCCATACTATAGAATAATTTATAGGATCTCAATGTTATATATATTATGTGTAGAATGCATTGCATCTACTCACCGAAGGCACCACTTGTGTACTGGAATATTCCAGTTTTGCCAAAAGTATGTGATGGTCTCAGCGTTCCTTCAAGAAAGGGAAAAGTCTCATAGTCATGTGAAGTGATGTATTTTACAGTAGTACATGATATCGACATTTTGCTTTTGTACATCTGAAATGATCACTTCTCCCTCTTAGTAACATACTGGCAATAAACAATGCAACGTAACAAAATAGACCGTATTCATTTCACCTACCACCAGTCTCTGTAAAACTCTCTGTCTCCAAACTGCAGGAGCTCAGCCATAAAGTTCAAGGAGGAGTGGAAGAACCAGTAGAAGAATATCAACCAGAGAAAATGATTGGGCACCTGATGGGACAGAGAGGACAGGGAAATAATACTGTTTGTATCCAGGACAACATAAAACAACAACAGAACAACAGAACTGTCCAATACTATGTATATGTCATATCTCTCAAGGCCCAAGGGTACTATGAATCATGTTACCATGACCACAATACCACTGTGTTCTCTTGTGTACTTACGGCTAGTCTGAGTAGACGCTCCATCATCATTGGGAGGTCCATATCCTACAGGATCAGGATCAATGAAGAAAGAGCGATTGTATTGATAGAGGAAAATAGTAAAAATGCTTTAAATGAAAATGATAAATGTACCAGTAATCCTACTTTACCTCCAACGGCTTCATAGAACTCTGAATTATGGGTATCATCCACTGGAGGAGAATAAGAGACAGCACAAATCATCAATACAATGACATGCACTGCTTATTCTCAATAGATGCATGTTGTCACACTATGTACAGTGGGGGAAAAAAGTATTTAGTCAGCCACCAATTGTGCAAGTTCTCCCACTTAAAAAGATGAGAGAGGCCTGTAATTTTCATCATAGGTACACGTCAACTATGACAGACAAATTGAGAAAAAAAATCCAGAATATCACATTGTAGGATTTTTTATGAATTTATTTGCAAATTATGGTGGAAAATAAGTATTTGGTCACCTACAAACAAGCAAGATTTCTGGCTCTCACAGACCTGTACCTTCTTCTTTAAGAAGCTCCTCTGTCCTCCACTCGTTACCTGTATTAATGGCACCTGTTTGAACTTGTTATCAGTATAAAAGACACCTGTCCACAACCTCAAACAGTCACACTCCAAACTCCACTATGGCCAAGACCAAAGAGCTGTCAAAGGACACCAGAAACAAAATTGTAGACCTGCACCAGGCTGGGAAGACTGAATCTGCAATAGGTAAGCAGCTTGGTTTGAAGAAATCAACTGTGGGAGCAATTATTAGGAAATGGAAGACATACAAGACCACTGATAATCTCCCTCGATCTGGGGCTCCACGCAAGATCTCACCCCGTGGGGTCAAAATGATCACAAGAACGGTGAGCAAAAATCCCAGAACCACACGGGGGGACCTAGTGAATGACCTGCAGAGAGCTGGGACCAAAGTAACAAAGCCTACCATCAGTAACACACTACGCCGCCAGGGACTCAAATCCTGCAGTGCAAGACGTGTCCCCCTGCTTAAGCCAGTACATGTCCAGGCCCGTCTGAAGTTTGCTAGAGTGTATTTGGATGATCCAGAAGAGGATTGGGAGAATGTCATATGGTCAGATGACACCAAAATATAACTTTTTGGTAAAAACTCAACTCGTCGTGTTTGGAGGACAAAGAATGCTGAGTTGCATCCAAAGAACACCATACCTACTGTGAAGCATGGGGGTGGAAACATCATGCTTTGGGGCTGTTTTTCTGCAAAGGGACCAGGACGACTGATCCGTGTAAAGGAAAGAATGAATGGGGCCATGTATCGTGAGATTTTGAGTGAAAACCTCCTTCCATCAGCAAGGGCATTGAAGATGAAACGTGGCTGGGTCTTTCAGCATGACAATGATCCCAAACACACCGCCCGGGCAACGAAGGAGTGGCTTCGTAAGAAGCATTTCAAGGTCCTGGAGTGGCCTAGCCAGTCTCCAGATCTCAACCCCATAGACAATCTTTGGAGGGAGCTGAATGTCCGTGTTGCCCAGCGACAGCCCCAAAACATCACTGCTCTAGAGGAGATCTGCATGGAGGAATGGGCCAAAATACCAGCAACAGTGTGTGAAAACCTTGTGAAGACTTACAGAAAACGTTTGACCTGTGTCATTGCCAACAAAGCGTATATAACAAAGTATTGAGAAACTTTTGTTATTGACCAAATACTTATTTTCCACCATAATTTGCAAATAAATTCATTAAAAATCCTACAATGTGATTTTCTGGAGAAAAAAAATTCATGTACCTATGATGAAAATTACAGGCCTCTCTCATCTTTTTAAGTGGGAGAACTTGCACAATTGGTGGTTGACTAAATACTTTTTTCCCCCACTGTAAGTCAGTGTCAGTAGAAAACATACCTGCTGTGTTAATCCGACCAATAACTGGGTGAAGAACAGCTGGGAAGAGAGATTACTTGTTTACTTAGCATTTCTCCTCTAAATCAAACAAAATAGCAATAATTGAGTGTCTGTGTGTGTGTGTGTGTGTGTGTGTGTGTGTGTGTGTGTGTCTGAGTGTGTGTGTGTGTGTGTGTGTGTGTGTGTGTGTGTGTGTGTGTGTGTGTGTGTGTGTGTGTGTGTGTGTGTGTGTGTGTGCAGGAAAAACGCTGTCTGCCTTTTAGCTTTGGATAAGTCTTGGGACCAGAGTGCACATCTCCACAGTAGACCAATAAGCCAAGCTAATCTTCTAATGGGGGTTCAGAGAAATTCACAATGGAAGTTGACATTGTTAAATAAGCTACTTATATCTGTTGTATCCATGTTTGCTGTAGATGATTGTGTCAGATTGTATTGAAGAGAATAGATCTTATTATGTAACTGTATTTCTATAATGTGCTCCTTCACATGGGGCTAAACAGGAAGTTGTACCTCCTCTTATATACCCATAAAATAATCAATAGGACAGAACCATGACACATCAACTGTTCAGTCTAGTTTACAGAGTATAAAGCAGCATATTAACAAACCAATGCATAAAGGATGATTGGGGACAGAACTCACCATCTCAAAAAGCCTCCTCAGCAGGAAGCTCATTCGAATCCGTGGAGACCGGGGGAAGTTTAATTCATAGCAGAGGGTTGGTGCAAAAACAAAATAATATAAATCTAAAAACACAATGGGTTGAGAGAGAGGGAGAAAGAGAAAAAGAGAGAGAGAGAGGAGAGGCGATAGAGGAAAGATAGAAGTTGGAGAGGATGCGATAGTCTGAGTGAAGGAGCTCCAGTAGAAGGCTACAGCAGGAGTATGTTTACCAGTTTGATACAGCTCCAGTAGGGTCTGTACAGCAGGGATAGGTTGACGGCAGGCAAGTGATAAGAGTGGGGTCTGCTACAGCAGGATAGGTTGAGGCAGCAGTGATAAGAGTGGGGTCTGCCTACAGCAGGGATAGGTTGCGCAGCAGTGATAATAGTGGGGTCTGCTACAGCAGGAATAGGTTGAGGCAGGACAGTGATATGAGTGGGGTTCTGCTACAGCAGGATAGGTTGAGGCAGCAGTGATAAGAGTAGGGTCTGCTACAGCAGGATAGGTTGAGGCAGCAGTGATATGAGTGGGGTCTGCTACAGCAGGATAGTTTGAGGCAGCAGTGATAAGAGTAGGGTCTGCTACAGCAGGATAGGTTGAGTCAGCAGTGATATGAGTGGGGTCTGCTACAGTAGGATAGGTTGAGGCAGCAGTGATAAGAGTAGGGTCTGCTACAGCAGGATAGGTTGAGGCAGCAGTGATAAGAGTAGGGTCTGCTACAGCAGGATAGGTTGAGGCAGCAGTGATAAGAGTAGGGTATGCTACAGCAGGATAGGTTGAGGCAGCAGTAGTAAGAGTGGGGTCTACCCAGACCTGGGTTCAAATATGTGTACCTGAAAATTGTATTTGAACCCAGGTCTGAGTCTACCTGGGATGGAATGGTCAACTTCTACTGACCTCTGAGGGTCAGATTTCCAGGGTAGGAGACCTGATAGTCCACTCCACTTCCCTTAGACTGCGGTATAGAGGAACCTGTAGAGGAGAGTCAGCAATTAAACATGTATGATTCTCACAGTCACTCTACTTAAAGAACGGCTTCATGTCTACAGTCAACCAGCAGGTGGCAGTGCAGCAGTTAAGGAGCGATGTGGATAGTAGTATTGTATGTGTGTGTGTTAAATTTTATGTGTAGAGGGTAAAATATCACAAGTTTTCACCAACAGGAAAACGGTTTCCATTAAGGGTACATATACAAACACCCAGCATTGCCGCCTACGAAAAATGAGATAACAGTTGCCATTTCCGTGGAGGCCAGTCAGAAACCTCATTAAGCCCTTTATTATTAGTCAAAGGTCAGTGTAGAATCCAGGTGACACAAACTCTCTAGGCAAAGCAACTCTGGGAGTCGTCACTGAAGAGCTGAGAGGGCGAAGGTTGAAAGCAAACCTGGTATAACAATATTAGTTTTCTTTCAAATACTTGATTGCCTGGCGCAATGGATAAAAAGGAATAGTCCCAAAAGTACATACTCCGCCCATCTGGCACTCCAGGCAGACTCAATCAAATATAAAGTATTTGAAAAATCTCCCTCACACCGCACAAACCTCAAGAACAGAAGTATCAGTAAAATCCGAAGCAGTGAAAAGCCCAGAAAGCCTGAGCCATATCGATAGCAAAAGCAGCACATCCGAAGTAGTTAAAGAGTAGCAGTGCTGTCGTTGCCCAGTTGCTGGTAGGGGGCATAGAGGACCGTGGAGGACTTACATGAGAGGGAGCGGGCCAGGCTTCGGGCTTTAGCATGGCTCATCTCTCTACACCACTTGTTCACATCTTTGTAGGAGTAGAGCTTCAGGAACAGGATGGTGTACACTCCCAGAGCAGACACTCCACCCGCTGAGGACAAGGACAAATGTGCAATGTTTAATTATGAGCAATATTTATACAATATTTGCTGTTAGAATTCATAGTCAATCATATTAAGTGTTGCATGCACAACAGTACAATACACATTATCCATCAAATTGAGTTAATGCCGTGGGTGTGGGTGGTTGTAAATTATCTTGATGTGTAGTAGCACAGGTGCAGTGTAATATATTATGGGACAGTCAACATGAGGTATTCAACATGCACATCACACTGTATAACAGAAAAGCTGTCTCACCTCAAACTATGTCAAGGACAGAATGAATTAAACCCTCCGTTTCCCAGTTAGCGAAGACGTTGGCTTTGATGTTCGGCTAACAAGCAGGCCCTAACAAGAAGCTGAGGAATGCTGCCCACCTGGCTCTCACTGTCCTTATCTAGGGCTATCCATATCAGTCAAGAGTTACAACACTCACCATCCTCTCCCTGCCTATCACACAAGATGAACGACTGGAAACACAAACGCCCACTCACGCTCAACCAACTACCAGCGCTACCGACTGAGGTCCAGGGAAACCTGGCAAGGCCCCCAGGTCCTTCTAACAGACTACTCCTGCTTTATCAACAGCAGCCATATGCTGCATGGAAATGGACCGTGCTGGTTACCTAGTAGATGGCATGGGCACAGAGAGAGAGAGAACGACAGAGACTGTCTCCCTCGCCAAGAGGAGCATCCGTGGCCCACTCCCCTGACCTTGATGTATAAACAGTGGCCCTGCATGAGGTACAAGAGACAGATGGTACATCTTTGTCAGTTCCCGTGGCGACGGCAGATGAGGAGAAATAAATACTTTTAGGTAAGGAAGGATACTGTAGCTACGCAGTCAACGTCCAGGGAAAGATGATCTGATTTGTGAGGGGTAAAATGAAGATCTTAAAGAAACAAAATCTTCCTATTCTCCTCTAAGAGAATGATTACTAAAAACTCATGACTGTAGGTTCACCTTTGTCTTTTTGCGTGTACAGATGTAGGATCTTAATTTGAGCCAGTTTGCTACAGCAGGAAATTAATCCTGCAGCAAAGGGAAATTTTTATTATTATTATTATTATTATTATTATTATTATTATTATTATTATTATGTGGATTATAATTCATGGACATTTGTGTAGGGGTTGATAAATTTTTCGTAAGGGAAAATCAAGTCTGAAATATCAAAGTGGAAATGACAAACTTCAGTAATCCACAACTTTTAAATGTCCTTCATTGCAGGAAAGTTCTCCTGCAACAGGGTGAACAAACTAAGATCCTACATCTGTAAGTCTGTGGGTAAAGAACAACATCACAGACAGTTAATAACATCTTGTGGTTATGGTCAGCTTCCTAAGTTCTGAGTCATGTGTAGCCTACATGAGAGGCTGTTAGCTGTTGTATGTCACCACATGCCATGCTGGCTAGCGACCAGCTTGATGAAGACAGGCAGAGCTGACCTGACATTGACCTGTCTCTCAGCCACTCCTCTTTTGGCCTCATATTCACCTCACTCCTTCCTTCCTCTCCCTGTGAGCCAACTGGGACTGATCAAACACTGCCCAACTGATTACATTCAGATAAAATCACACACTTGTATAATATAATACTATACTAACTACACATTAATGACCACTGATTCCATTTAGCTAAAATCACACATGGATAATATAATACTACACTACTGTAACTTCTGTAATGCAACTGATTCCATTTAGATAAACTCTTACAGGAGTAGATCATTTGAAAAACCACACTAACCCCCAAAGACCAAGCATTTTCGTTGGGAAAATGATTAAAAAACTTTTAAAACACAAATTAAAATGTCTACAAAACTAACTAAACTAAAATAAAAACCCCCAGAGATACCCTAACTAAAATAATAGTGAAGCCCAGAGAAAACACACTAAACTAAAAAAGTGAAGAACCCGAACCACCACTAACTAAACCCCCCAAAAGTGAAGACCCATAGAAACCAAAACCCCAACTAAAACCCCATTGAAGACACAGAGAAAACACCTAACAAACCCAAAAGTGAAGGGCACAAGACACCCCTTAACTTAAACCCAAAGTAAAAGACACAAAATAAAACCCCCCCACACTAACTAAACTAATTAAAAAAAACAGAGACAACACAACTAAAATAATGTAAAAAACACGAGAACCCCCACTAACTAAACTAATATTGAAGACACAGAGATACACACTAACCAAACTAATAGTGAAGACACAGAGACACACACTAACTAAACTAATAGTAAAGGGCACAGAGACCACACTAATAAGCAATGTAAAGAACAGAGACCCACACTAACCCAAAATAATAGTAAAGAACAAAAACACACCTAACTAAACTAAAAATTTAAGACACAGAGGGCACACAATAAAATAAACTAAGTGAAGACGACCAAAAAACCCCACACTAACTAAAAATTTTTAATGAAAACACCGAGACCACCACTAACTAAACTAAATTGTTTAAAGACACGAGACCCCCCTAAATAACCCAATTAAATAAAAACACAGAGGCCACACACTAACTAAAAATAATAGTGAAACACAGAACCCACATTTTTCTAAATAATATGAAGGGCCCCAAGACAAAACACTAACTAAAACCAAAAATTAAAAACACAGAGACACACACTAACTAAACTAATAGGTGAAGCCCCAGGACCCCACCTTTTTAACTTTAAAATAAGTTTAAGACACAGAGGGAAAAAACACCCAAATAAACCTAATAGTGAAGACACAGAGACACACACTAATAACTAAAAAGTGAAGACACCCCGAGACAACACAACTTTTTTAAAAAAATTTGTGAAGACCCCCAGAGGGCAAACAACCCAACTAAATAATAGTGAAGACCCCAGAGACCCCCACCTTTTCTTTCTAATAGTGAAAACCCAGAGACCCCCACAACCCAAAACTAAACCCCCTAGTGAAAACCCGGACACACCCCCCTAACTAAAACTTAATGTAAAGACACCCCGAGGAAAAACACACCCTAAACTAAATAGTGAAGACCCCAGAGGGGCAACCACCCCAACTAAACTAATAGTGAAACCACCGGAAAATTTTCTAAAAAAACATTTAATAGGGGGAAAACCCCAAGGGCACCAAACTAAAATAAACCAAAAGTGAAGAACCGAGACACACCCCCAAACCCCAAACCCCCAATTTTTGTTAACAACCCCCAGGGAAAACACCCCCCCAATAACTAAATTTTTAAAAGTGAAGAAAAACAGAGACAACAACCAACCCAAAAATAACCCAAAAGTGGAATAAAACAGAGAAAAAACCCCCCATTTAAAAATTTTTAATTTTCTAAAAACCCCCCAGAGAAACCCCCCACTAAACCCAAACAATATGAAGAACAAAAGGGCCCACACTAACCCAAAATAATAGTGAAGCCAAGGAAACCCCCACTAACTAAACTAAAAATTTTTTAAAGCCCCCAGAGAAACACACAAACCCCAAACTAATAGGGAAAACCCCAAAAGACACACACTAACTAAACTAAAAGTGAAGACACAGAGACACACACTTTTCTAAAATAATTTTGTTTTTAAAACACAGAAAAACACACCAACTAAACCCAATTAGTTTTAAGACAAAAGGACACACCCCCTAACTAAAAATAAAAGTAAAAGACACCGAGAAACACCCCCTAACTAAAACTAATAGAAAGAAACAGCGAAAAAAACCCCAACCCAAAAAAATAGTGGGAAAAACAGAAACACACTAACCCTTTAAAATAATAATGTTTTTTAAACCCAAGACCAAAATGGGGTTCAGATTTTCATTTTTTCTTTTTTTTTTCTTTTAAAAACAGGTTTGCTTTTACAGATGTAGGATTTTTTAATTTTTGGAAACCAGGTTGCTTCTGAGGAAAAAAACCAAAAACCCCGCCCCCGCAACCCGGAAATGTAAATTATTATGGGATTATGAATTTTTTGTTAAACCCCCCCCACCCCCCCAGAAAACCCTTTTTTTGGGTATTTTTTTCCCAAATTAGTCCCCCGTTGTACTTTCCCCCCCCAAAATTTTTTGCCTTTTTTTTTATAGTCAAGTTTTTCAAGCAAATTCCCGGCTTTTCAAGAAGCAAAGTTTTTCCCAAACCGGGTTCCAAAACATCATTGATATGCAAAATGGAAAGTTCCCCCTTTCAAAAGGGTGATCAAAATTAAGGGTCCTCCCTCTGTTTGGGGGGATAAGAACCCTGGTTTTAACCGGAGTCATGGGCCCCTTTTAACCACTTCCCCAAATTAAAAGCCCCCGGGAAACCCCCAGAGTGATCGAAAGGTTAAGGGGAAAGAACCAGAGGCCCCCCCAAAAACGTTCCCCTGAAGCAAGGGCCCCCATTGGGCAAAAAAAAGAACAGCAAGTTAAAAGGAAAAGCCACAGGAATAGGGGTTTTTGATGGGGCCCTTTGGGGCCACCCCCCCGAAAAAAAAAAAAAAGAAAAAAAAAAGAAAAACAATAAAATCCAAAAAAGTAGTGCACTGGGGGCCTTTTTAGTCCTGTATTAGCGGAACTGATTTTAGCGTTGCCAGCCCCAGGCCCCCAAAACTTTTTTTATAACATAATTTGAAAAAATGGTAAAGTAAACAAAACAAGAAAAAAATTTTTTCCCCCCCGAGAGCCTTCCCCTCTGTGTACCAAAACTGCCACCCTTAAAACACGTTGGGAAAGTGGAAAGGGAAAAATGCCCGGGCAAATTTATGGGCGGGTTTTCAAATAAAAGTTTCCCCAAACCCCCAAAACATGGGCAACCCGGCGAGTTTAACATATAAAAAGGGGGATGACAGGATGGGTCAAATAAAGGTCTAGTTTTGTTTTTTTTCGTTTTTAAAGTTTTTGGGGGGGGGGGCCACCCACTGCCCCTTAAGATAAAAACCCGCCTGTCACCGCATTCAGTTTCCGGGGCCCAAAAGAGGGGAGCCCCAACACAGCATATTTTGTTGAAAAGGGCCACCTGCTTTTCTGCCCCCTGTTCCCGTTCTTTTTTTTATTGAAAGGGCTGATCTGTTCTACCGCTTTCCCGGGTTTTGTTCTATGCAGGGTGATACCCGTTCTACTGCAGGACCAAGCCTAATGTTCTACTGCGGGACTGTTTCCCGTTTTACCCCGCAGGGTTTAACTGTTCTACTGGGGGCGATTTTGTTCTTTGGAGGGCAATAACTGTTTTTACTGCTGTACTGTTACTGTTTCTAAAATTTGCCTGTTACTGTTTAATGAAAGGGTTGAAATGTTCTACTGGAAAAGGGCTTTATACTGTTCTATGGAGGACAGAACGGGTTCCCACTGGGAGACAATACTGTTTTTAAATGCTGAAAGTTACTGTTTACTGCCGGGCTGATACTGTTTTTTACCTTTGGGGGACGATACTTTTTTACTGGGGGACTGATACTGTTCTAAATGGGGGGAAAAAGATACTGTTCTACGCTTTTAAATTACTGTTCTACTGCAGGATTTTTTACGTTTTTATGGGGACGGTAAATGTTCTACTGGAGGACAGATATGTTTAAATGCTTTCTGTTTTTCTGTTCTAAATGGCCCGCCCCTGTTACGTTTACTGCCGGATTTGATAAATGTTCCCCACTGGAGGACTGATATGTTTTTACTGGAGGACAGATACTGGGTTTTACTGGGGGGAAGATACTGTTTACTGCGTACTGTTACTGGGTTTACTGCAGGACTGATCCCGTTTTTACTGGGGGACTGATACTGTTTACTGGAGGCTGTACTGTTTTACTGCCGGACAGATACTGTTTTCTACTGCCCGTTACTTTTAATTTTCTTTCTGCAGGATTGATACGTTCTACTGGGGGGACTGAAACTGTTCTAAATTTCTTTCATGTTACTGTTTCCCCTGCAGGGGTGAACGGGGTTTTACCCGCTGCAATGGGTTCCCGTTCTACTGGGAGGACGGTTTGTAAAAACAGTAAAAGGGGCAGCGTGAACCGATCAGTCCTCCATTTGAACAGTATCAAACCTGCCGTTTGAACGGAAAAAGTACAGCCGGTTTGAACAAATATCTGTCCTGCAGTAGAAAAGATCAGTCCTGCCCTATTCTAATGCAGGGCCAATTTCTTTTTCTACTGCAGGACTGAAAAAACTGTTTATGATGTACTGGGTTTTCTTTCTAAATGATGTACTGTTCCTGTTCTACTGCCCGTTTCTGTTACTGTTCTCCCGCAGGATTTATACGTTTCTACTGGAGGCTGATATGTTTCTAAAGGGTCTACTGTTAATGTTTTTAAATGGGAGGACTGATTGTTTCCCCACCCTAACCCCGTTTCCTTTTTTCTAATGCTGCACGGGTTTCGTTTCTAAATGATGTACTGTTACTGTTCTATGGGAAAGGGGGGGATAGGGTTTTCCCGCAGGACTGGATAAAAATTTATTTTCTGGGGTTTTACTGTTTCCCCTTCTAAATGGTGTACTGTTCCTGTTTTAATGCTGTAAATTTACTGTTCTACTGAAAGGGTTTTTACGTT